TGTTAATGGTATGTTCTATGTTAACGGTATGTTCCCCGTTAACGGTATGTTCCCTGTTAACGGTATGTTCTATGTTAATGTTATGTTCTATGTTAACGGTATGTTTCCCGTTAACGGTATGTTCCCTGTTATCGGTATGTTCCATGTTAATGGTATGTTCTTTGTTAACGGTATGTTCCCCGTTAACGGTATGTTCCCTGTTAACGGTATGTTCCATGTTGATGGTATGTTCTATGTTAACGGTATGTTCCGTGTTAATGGTATGTTCCCTGTTATCGGTATGTTCCATGTTAACGGTATGTTCCCTGTTAACGGTATGTTCCATGTTGATGGTATGTTCTATGTTAATGGTGTGTTCTATGTTAACGGTATGTTCCCTGTTAACGGTATGTTCCATGTTAACGCAATGTTCTCTGTTAACGGTATGTTCCCTGTTGACTGTATGTTCTATGTTAACGGTAATCACCCCAATTTACAATATGTTCTCTGTAAACGGTATGTTCCCTGTTAACGGTATGTTCTCTGTTAACTTTATGTTACGTGTTAACGGTATGTTCCATGTTAATGGTTTGTTCCCTGTTAACGGTATGTTCCGTGTTAATGGTATATTCCGTGTTAACGGTATGTTCCGTGTTTTCGTTAAGTTTGCTATTAACGGTATGTTCTCTATTAACGGTATGTTCTCTGTTAACTTTATGTTACGTGTTAACGGTATGTTCCATGTTAACGGTTTGTTCCCTGTTAACGGTATGTTCCGTGTTAATGGTATATTCCGTGTTAACGGTATGTTCCGTGTTTTCGTTAAGTTTGCTATTAACGGTATGTTCTCTATTAACGGTATGTTCTCTATTAACGGTATGTTCTCTGTTAACTGTTTGTTATGTGTTAATGGTATGTTCCATGTAAACGGTTTGTTCCGTGTTAATGGTATGTTCCGTGTTGATGGTATGTTCTCTGTTAACGGTATGGTCGCTATTAACGGTATGTTCCGTGTTAAGGATCCCCGTACCTCCGCCTACAACTGTACTGAGGCATTGTTTTATTTCTTCTTCGGCATCGCTATTGCATAACCAAATTATTTCTGAACGGTTGTTTCTTCAGATTTTTTGGGATGTTATGAAATTTCGGGTTTTTTTTCTCATTTTTTTTTTTTCAATGGAACAAAATGAAACAAAAAACATTTTATTTGATGCAACAATGGTTAATTAGAAATATAACACATACAAAATAATAACAATGTCAATATTGATGAACAAAACACGAAAAAAACTGAGTAATTTTCTAACAATAATACTAAAACAAACAAAAATGCCCGTTACATGAATCAATAAAATTCCGGGTGCCAATGCAACACGTTAAGGACAACGAAAAGAAAATATAGGTGAAAAAAATTCAACATCTTATGGACTTACTTATTATACAAAAAATAATAAAGATACAAAAAAACTAAACAAAACAAGAGAGACAACTCAAACATTTGTACCAATAATTCTAAATCCCCAAAAATTCATATATACAATTTACAACATACAATATAGCACTTTTTATATACGAACATGATTCAGTAGGCATTACCAACCATTAAAATCACTTCAAATGTAATAACCAATATAAAACAAAATTGCACATTGTGTATGAATAACATTATAACAAAAAATGTACTTTACTGTGTCATAGCAAAAATGTCACGATCAACAACATTAACAAAGTTTCACATACTTTACCCAACAATAATAAATTCCTACATAATAGGCAAATAACATACCATGTTGTGATATAAAAAATCACACTATATACAACAATAATAAACTTTTACATCCTGAACAAAACACTATTAAACTTTCACATTATGTACAGATAACAACATACCATATTGTGATATACAAATATCACACTATACAACAATAATAAACTTTGTCCTTATGTACAAATAACGACATACGATATTGTGTTATAAAAATATCACATTGTAAAATGGACTTGAAATATAGGCCTATTAGGTATATACATGAAATAACAAATATAGAATATAATCCTGACTATTGTGATTCATAAAATATTTCCCAGGCCAAAATGTCTTTCCTGTGTACAATCGTAGCCTAGTACCGCATTCCTTACAACCTTTCTGGTCCAGGTATTCAGATAACATCGCAAGTTCAACCACTCGTCTACCCTGCGACCGGGTTAAAAAGTTATTGACGCATTCGTGATCACTTGTACTACTGGAGGGATCCTCATCGGACGTCGGTGTCAGCTCAGCAGTAAAATTGCCAGTAAGCTTAAAAAGGGCCTCAGTAGCCAGCGTCTCTTCAATGTGTGAACGAGTGTCACTTTGTTTCGTCGCATAGTCGTGGTCTAGCAGTTGATATTGGACATCGTTGTTGTTATTATTGTCAGTTAATGCGTTTAGTTTACATTTAAAACGGCCGATTTTAAGTCTGGCTTGCATGTCGGCCATCACTGCCACGACGTTGCTCACATCGTTACGACAGCTTTTTTTCCCCCACTTTCACAATTGGAGATTTTCAACGCAAGGGACACAACTCTGTAGTCGAAACGTTATTCAAACGAAATCTATTCAAGGGAAGATAACAACATTGTCGAAATGGTAATCAGGGGCAGGTGACTCTTACACTGAAAAACGACAGTGGAAATCTTTAGTTTTTTGTTTTGCTCTGGCTGGGACGGGGATCCTAAACGGTATGTTCCGTGTTAACGGTATGTTCTCTGTTAACGGTATGTTCCCCGATTTACAATGTGTTCCCTGTAAACGGTATGTTCATGGTATCAGACTCAAAATTAGACAAAGAAATCGCCAGCATTCCAAAGCTAAGCTACATAATACTCCATCTTCCTGGGCAAAATTTAGATCTATTCGGAATGAAGTTATATCCTTAGTCCGGGAAGCTAAAGAAAAATATTTATCTAAACTTCAATCTTCTTTAATTGATAAAACCATACCCCCCGGAAAATGGTGGCGTATTGCAAAATCGGTTATGAATCTCAAAAACAAAAACGAAAATGACTCTCCATTGATTATCAACGGCGAACTGAAAATCCACCCCATAGATAAGGCGGAATCTTTTAACGATTATTTCACTTCGATTTCCGTAACTGAAAAGAATGCTGACGATTTACCTCCTGATTGCCCCCGACCCCGACATAGCTTCTCAACAATAGACATAACCGAACAGGACATTCTTGATCAGCTCGATCTACTCAATACTAATAAACCTTCAGGCCCTGATAGTATCCCTCCAAAATTCATAAAAGGGGTTTCCCAATCTCTTGTGAAACCACTCTATCTCTTATTCAACAAATCTATTTCTACCGGAAAGCTACCAAATAGATGGAAAAATGCTCATGTTACCCCAATTTATAAGGGCAAGGGAGATAAAAGTGATCCATCCAACTATAGACCAATATCTGTTACCCCTATATTTAGCAAGCTATTTGAAAAAAATGTTTTTAAGTATATGTTCAATTACCTCTCAAGATATAACATTATTTCTAAGAATCAGTCAGGCTTTTTACCTAAGGATTCCACAGTGTATCAGCTATTAATTATATACGATGAAATTGTAAAACATTTAGACAAAGGCAAAGAGGCCAGAATGATTTTCTGTGATATTAGCAAAGCCTTTGACAGAGTTTGGCATGACGGTCTAATTTATAAACTAAAAAAATATGGTATATGTAATAATATGTTAGAATGGTTTACATCATACCTTCATGATAGGCAACAGAGAGTGGTCATAGATGGGTATAAGTCTAACTGGAAAACATTACAGGCAGGGGTACCCCAAGGTTCAGTCCTTGGTCCTTTTTTGTTTTTACTATATATTAATGATATTGGTGATGAATTGGCCTCAAACTTCAAACTATTTGCTGATGATACCTCCTTATATGGTCTCATTGAGGGAGACAGGCAAGAATGTGCTAATATATTAAATGATGATCTGAGGAAAATTTCAATCTGGGCTAGAACATGGGGAATTATCTTTAATCCAGATAAAACTGTAGCCCTGCTCTTCTCGAGGCGGGTTGACTCTGAGACACTGCATCCTAACCTATATTTTGATGAATCATCAATTATTAATGTTTCTAATCATAAACACCTAGGTTTGTTTTTCAACAGCAAGGCTAATTGGTCTAACCACATAAACTATATATACGAAAAAGCTTATAAAAGAATTAATATACTTAGAATGTTGAAATACAAAATTGATAGAAAATCACTCGAAACTATATATATCACATTTATACGTCCAATTCTGGAATATGCAAATATTATATGGGCAAACTGCACGCAGAATGAATGCAGTGTCTTGGAGTCTATCCAACTAGAAGCAGCACGTATTATCTTAGGGTTAAGACGTGGAACAAGTCATGCTATCTTATATAGAGAATCTGGTTTTATAACACTTAATAGAAGAAGACATTTGCATCAAAATATTACTTTTTATAAAATATATAATAGGAAATGTCCCTCTCATGTCTATGATATAATTCAACCGTACATTAATGATAATACTGACAATTATCATCTTCGCCACAATAGAATTTTTGATGTTCCTATACCAAGAACTCAGTTATATAATGCCAGTTTTTTCCCGAAACTGATGTCTGAATGGAATAATCCAACTTGCCTGTATCCCACAATGACATCCATTGGATCTATAAAAAGAGATTTTTTACACTCAGATGAAATGGATTCTCAACCCCAATGTACTGATATTTTTAAATACAATGGTGATCGAAAATTTAATATTACCTTATGTCAACTTAGAAACTGTGCCAGTAACCTGAATTCAGATCTATTTGAATCTCACCTAATTGATACCCCTGCCTGCTTATGTAGTTCTCCTGTTGAGGACTGTGATCACTTCTTCTTCCATTGTACTCTGTATACTAATCAAAGGCAAATTCTCCTGAACTCCATTTCTGCTTTTAATGACATTATTCCATTAAATACCCAGACTTTTCTTTATGGATGTCAAAGACTTGATATCAATATGAACATAAGTATCTTGGAGATGGTTAAGAGATTCGTTAAAGATACAAGACGCTTTAACTAGATTACACTTACTTGTTTATCTCATGACTTTGCTGTGTGGAATGATACCAGTACATACTTTTACTATGTGCTCTGTCCACCAGCATCATTTTAATTGCCATTTTTTTGTAAAATCTAGTTTTTGTACAACAATTATCCAAAAAATTAATAATGACATGCAAATATCAATATTCATGTACATAATATAAATGTTTTATCATTACTTCAATTCAATATGATGTGTGTAAACTGTTTATAACTGTAAGGAGAGGGCGCTCATAGGCTTTGCCTGTTGCCCAATTCCTTTGTATCTAAGATCTGAACAATAAATATTCTGAAATGAAAAAAGTCTTGTTAGCTGTTCTCGGGTTAGTGAAAGTCTTGTTAGCTGTACTCGGGTTAGTGGAAGTCTAGTGAATTGTACTAGTGTTAGTGAAAGTCTTGTTAGCTGTACTAGTGTTAGTGGAAGACTTGTGAACTGTACTCGGGTTAGTGGAAGACTTGTGAGCTGTACTAGTGTTAGTGGAAGTCTTGTGAACTGTATAGGGTTAATCGAAGACTTGTTAGCTGTACTAGACTTAGTGGAAGACTTGTTAGCTGTACTAGTGTGAGTGAGAGTCTTGTAAGCTGTTCTCGGGCTAGTGAAAGTCTTGTTAGCTGTACTCGGGTTAGTGGAAGACTTGTGAACTGTACTCGGGTTAGTGGAAGAATTGTGACCTGTACTAGGGTTAGTGGAAGTCTTGTGAACTGTACTAGGGTTAATCGAAGACTTGTTAGCTGTACTAGGCTTAGTGGAAGACTTGTTAGCTGTACTAGTGTGAGTGGAAGACTTGTGAGCTGTACTAGGGTTAGTGGAAGACTTGTGAGCTGTACTAGTGTTAGTGAGAGTCTTGTTAGCTGTTCTTGGGTTAGTGAAAGTCTTGTTAGCTGTACTCGGGTTAGTGGAAGACTTGTGAACTGTACTCGGGTTAGTGGAAGACTTGTGAGCTGTACTAAGGTTAGTGGAAGACTTGTGAGCTGTACTTGGGTTAGTGAAAGTCTTGTTAGCTGTACTAGGGTTAGGGAAAGTCTTGTGAACTGTACTAGGGTTAATCGAAGACTTGTTAGCTGTACTAGGCTTAGTGGAAGACTTGTAAGCTGTACTAGTGTGAGTGGAAGACTTGTGAGCTGTACTAGGGTTAGTGGAAGACTTCTGAGCTGTACTAGTGTTAGTGAGAGTCTTGTTAGCTGTTCTTGGGTTAGTGAAAGTCTTGTTAGCTGAACTCGGGTTAGTGGAAGACTTGTGAACTGTACTCGGGTTAGTGGAAGACTTGTGAGCTGTACTAGGGTTAGTGGAAGACTTGTGAGCTGTACTCGGGTTAGTGAAAGTCTTGTTAGCTGTACTAGGGTTAGTGAAAGTCTTGTTAGCTGTACTCGGGTTAGTGGAAGACTTGTGAACTGTACTCGGGTTAGTGGAAAACTTATGAGCTCTATTAGGGTTAGTGGATTTTACTTTGAGTAGATACAAGGAGGAAGGGCCTGGTACCTTCATCTAATTGATGACGTCACAAATACCAGTATAATTTTAGCAGGTACTCTATAGCTTACCATATTGACCGTATACATAAGGCAGTAACCTTGCGAATATAATATATTTTGATATTCAAATAACGCTGTCGATTTTTGCTTTTAAATAACTTCATCATCCTAACAGTCTTACATGTGCCTACAGTTGAGTAGATTGGGAGGTGGGCGTGAACATGACAGCTAATGCTAATGAGAGGACACAATTCACGATCATTACAAAACTTTACAGATCAAAATGTCGTGTAGTTCAGCTGGGTAAGGACCGCGGACCATTAGGAGAGGCCGGACTGTGGTCGGAGGCCCACCGCTGTCCATGTAGAGCGGCCGCACTGTGGTCTGATGTCCACCGCTGACCAGGTAGTGCGGACAGACTGAAGTCGGAGACCCACCGCTGACCAGGTAGTCTGGACAGACTGAAGTCGGAGACCCACCGCTGTCCAAGTAGAGCGGCCGCACTGTGGTCTGATGTCCACCGCTGACCAGGTAGAGCGGCCGGACTGTGGTCGGAGGCTCACCACTGACGAGGTAGAGAGGCCGAAATATGGTCGGAGACCCACCGCTGACCAGGTAGAGCGGACAGACTGAAGTCGGAGACCCACCGCTGTCCAAGTAGAGCGGCCGCACTGTGGTCTGAGGTCCACCGCTGACCAGGTAGTGCGGACAGACTGAAGACGGAGGCCCACCGCTGTCCAAGTAGAGCGGCCGCACTGTGGTCTGAGGTCCACCGCTGACCAGGTAGTGCGGACAGACTGAAGACGGAGGCCCACCGCTGTCCAAGTAGAGCGGCCGCACTGTGGTCTGATGTCCACCGCTGACCAGGTAGAGCGGCCGGAATATGGTCGGAGACCCACCGCTGACCAGGTAGAGCGGCCCGACTGTGTTCGGAGGCCAACAGCTGACTAGGTAGAGCGGCCGGACTGTGGTCAGAGGCCCGACGCTGACCAGGTAGAGCAGCCGAACTGTGGTCGGAGGTCCGACGCTGACCAGTAATAGAGGCCGGACTGTGTTCGGAGGCCCACAGCTGATCAGGCAAAGCGGCCGGACTGTGTTCGGAGGCCCACAGCTGACTAGCTAGATCGGCCGGACTGTGGTCGGAGGCACACCGCTGACCGGGTGGAGCGTCCGGACTGAGGTCGGAGGCCCACCGCTGACGAGGTAGCTCGGCCGGACTGTGTTTGGAGGCCCACCGCTGACGAGGTAGATTGGCCGGACTTTGGTCAGAGGCCCACCGCTGACAAGGTAGATTGGCCGGACTTTGGTCAGAGGCCCACCGCTGACGAGGTAGATCGGCCGGACTGTGTTTGGAGGCCCACCGCTGACGAGGTAGATTGGCCAAACTTTGGGCAGAGGCCCACCGCTGACGAGGTAGATTGGCCGGACTTTGGTCAGAGGCCCACCGCTGACGAGGTAGATCGGCCGGACTGTGTTTGGAGGCCTACCGCTGACCAGTTATTGTTATGAAAGTAAAACAAGCATCCATTTCATAGATGCAGGTTTTAGCCTTAGATACAGACAATTCGAATTATAAATACAGTTTACAGACACTAGTGTGTATACACTAATATACATCTGTATCAAGCGTTAACAAACAATTCATACTATATGTACGTTGCCGGTACATCTTCTACGCGATACCGTGTGAAATACGAGTACAACTAAACCCGGTGTGGGATACAGGTACTCCTATATCAAAGTGACACACGGAGAACGGGGGCTGTATCGGGTGTTCTATACTGGCAAACGATAAACAAAGATAGAATAAATTAACAACGCCAAGAGACGCTTAACAGAATAGAGACTTCAAAAAGAAAATGTCAGTGTTTACTTGGTCACCTGATATAAAATATCGGTCACATCTGATTATATTGTCGTTTTAATTGTATACTTTTTAAATTCTTTATTGATCTGTTGAACAGTGGACAAAATCATCAGCGATAAAAGAGACAAAGATTTGAATTTTAGGATCAAAAGAAAACCCTATAGGCAATCAAATGGGAAAGCAACTAGGGAGAGATCTGAGTTAATGTGTTTATTTACTATAAATAAATCTGCTGCACCCATCGCAATATTAGGGATCTTATCTTTCTTCCTTCCTCCAACTACCTTCCTTCCTTGGCAACACCTCACTTTTGGCCATAATGTTGAGCGTTCGTCGGGGGGAGGAAGACAATGGTTCTGTCCCCAGGCCGGGACATACCAAAGTCCTTAAAAATGGTAGTTGTTATTCCCTGCTTAACGTTAAGCATTTAGGGGAATGGTTCACCCGTTGTCAGTATAATGTGACCGGGCGGAATGTTGTGATTGGTGCCTTCGGCATGGTATTTTAGTAAGATAGCACAATATACAAAAAGTCAAACAATATTATATTACGATAATATATTTAAATATATTAATCTAACATACAACAGTTTCTCTGATTCTGATTATCATTTAATTAATGTTTCTCACAGTGTAATAGACAATCCTACTCCTACTCAGAATTACAATTCCGGAATGTCCTCTCAGTCTATCGCTTCTTATAGTAATACTACTTCCGGTGCCCTGATCTTTACTTCCTGTTTAGCGTTCTGCGGGCATGGCTTGTTTGATGAGATGAAGGAATCGGTGAACTACGTGCTGTTATGAATTATATATATGTAACACTCTATTGTTATATGGACATGCATTTTATTTTATACAGACATGCGGCTACAGTCACTATATAATACGATATGTATTTTGCAAATTTTACCTTAGTTATTTGCGGTCATATGTATATTTCATCATGTATGTTTTATGGGAAAAGACGGATTATAAGTTTTTAAACTTGTGTCTGATCCCTTTTGTATATTTGCAAATAAAATATGTTTAAATCAAATCTAATGCAAGAGGTGTTGTTATTCTTTTCAAAAATAATTTTGAACTCAAAGCGTTTAAGGAAAAGAAAGATAATTCAGGCAATTTCCTAGCCCTAGATATTGAAATTGAAACTTTCAGAATTACTCTTATTAATGTTTATGGCCCAAATAAGGATGACCCTGAGTTTTATACTATTCTAACAGAAACCATTGAAGAATTTGCAAATAAATACATTATTATCTGTGGGGACTTAATAATGAATCCTAAACTAGATTATGACAAAATTACAAAAACCTTAATAATCCTAAAGCTAGAGATAAAGTATTAGAAATCATTGATAATTTAGCATTAATAGATATTTTTCGAGAGCAACATGAAGATGTAAAAAGGTATACTTGGAGGAAAAGTAATCCATTGAGGCAAGCACGCTTAGATTTGTTTCTCATATCTGAAAATTTAATGTCAAGTACTAACAAATCAAATATAGAATCTGGTTATCGTTCTGACCATTCTTTTCCAACAATATCTTTAAAACTTCACGAATTTATAGCTGGTTAAGGGGTATGGAAATTTAATAATAGTCTTCTACAAGATATAGAATATTTAGACATGGTAAAAAAAATGTATTATTGAGACAAAAATGCAATACTGCCTTCCGCTTTACAACATATCAAACCTAGATAGCATTTCCTGTTCACTATAGATGACAAGTTATTGCTTGAAACCTTTGTTATTCAAATTCGGGGGAAAACTATATCATTGTTAGCATTGTTAGATATCGAGCTAAATGGATTGAAGAGGGGGAAAAGCCTACCAATTATTTTTTCAATTTCGAAAACAGTAATTTTACTTCAAAAATAATACCAAAATAACAATTAGATGATGGGAAAATGATTACAAACCAGGATGATATATTGCAAGAAGTTCACAATTTTTATGAAAACTGTATGAATCTGATAGTAACTTAGAAAATGTTAATTTAAATGAACTTTTAGAACCTTATCGTGTCAATAAAATTAATATGCATGATTCACAGAAGATTGAGGGTTTAATCACTTTAGAAGAAGCTGGGAAAACTTTAAAAAACATGAAAAATAATATAAGTCCTGGAATAGATGGTTTTACAGCGGAGTTTTATAAGTGTTTTTCGAAATATTTAGGTAATTTTGTTGTTCGTTCTATAAATTTGGGTTACAATACTGGTGTTTTATCTATTTCGCAACGACAAGGCATTATTACATGTATTCCAAAGGGAGATAAACCTAGACACTTCATCAAAAATTGGAGGCCAATATCACTGTTAAACATTGTTTTCTGGCACTATAGCATATCGACTTAAAACAGTTTTGGATAAATTAATTGACAAAGATCAGACCGGGTTTCTAGAGGGTCGTTATATAGGGGGAAATACTAGACTTGTTTACGATGTTATGCAATATACAGAAGAAAATGACATTCCAGGTATGTTTTTGATGATTGACTTTGAAAAAGCTTTTGATTCGGTCTCCTGGGTATTTATTGAAAAAGTCTTACAATTTTTTGGTTTTGGAAGTAGTTTAATCACTTGGGTTAAAATATTACATAATAATGCCAGTGCTACTATTAATCAGGGTGGGAACTTATCTTCATTTTTTCCAATAAAAAGATGTTGCCGTCAAGGTGATCCTATCGCACCATATATCTTTATTCTATGTGCAGAAATTTTGGCTATTAAATTAAGACAAAATGATAAAATTAAGGGTATTGATGTTGATAACTGTCCGATACTTTTGTCTCAATATGCTGATGATGCATCACTTGCACTAGATGGCACAGAACGGTCACTAATAGAATCTATTTAAGAACTTAACTCTTATGCTAATATATCAGGATTAAAAATGAATATTTCAAAAACTCAAGTGGTATGGATTGGTAGCAAAAAGTATAGCTCGGAGAAATTCCTTCCAGAACTAAATTTAGAGTGGGATAGAGAACATTTCACACTTCTTTGAATTTCATGTAAACTTGCATAAGATACCAAAGTTGAACTTTGATAACAAACTAACAAAACTTAAATCACTCATCAGATCATGGAATAGAAGAATATTAACTCCAATTGGTAAAATCCACATAATTAAGTCATTACTTATTTCACAGTTTAATCATCTGTTTATCTCACTGCCAAATCCAGATGAAAAACATCTTTCTAAACTTAACTGTTTACATATGAGTTTTTATGGAATAGTAAAATAGATAAAGTTAAAAGGGGTATCTTAACACAGGACTACATTGATGGTGGACTTAAAATGGTAAATATTAAGGCCTTTATAGATTCACTCAAAGTAGGTTGGATCAGAAGAGTTTTTCAAAGTACATCAAAGTGGCGAACAATTCTAAAAACATATGTAGATAAAGATTTGTTGGCTAACTGTGGAACTGAATATATACAGGTATGTCAAAGTAATTATAAAAATAGTTTCTGGATTGATGTTTTCAAAGCTTGTAACAATATGCATCCTGCAAAAGAAATAAATATAAACAAAAGTGAAGTTCACTTAAAAACCCTATATGGTACAATCGTGAAATTACTATTGATAGAAAATCAATTTTATTAAAGGACTGGTATAAAAGACGAGTTATGATTATAAATGACCTAGTTAAGGATTACAATTCTGGTACATTTTATACTTTCCATGAATTCTCCCAAAAATATCAGATACAGACTAATTTTCTACATTATCATAGTGTTCTCTCTGCAGTAAAGAAATCAAATTCTAATCCAGTCTTTCCTGATGTAAAAGTTACATACCCTATTATTCCTATAAACATGGAATTACTCATTAAAAAGCCTAGAGGTTCCAAACACTTCTATAATATTCTTATAAAAAACAAGATTGTACCAACAGGACAGAACAAATGGAATGATATCTTTGATTTAAATAGTTCCACTTGGCATAAGATATTCAAACTTCCCTTTGCTATAACTAAAAACACAAAACTTCAATGGTGTCGGTATAGAGTGAATAACCATATTCTGACAACAAACTCGTTCTTATTTAAAACTCGTTTAGCTATATCTCCACTCTGTATACTTTGTAATTCTGAGACTGAAACTATTATACATATCATGTGGGAATGCCAAGAGGTTCAAAATCTCCTTTTTAGTTTTGAAATTCTATTAGATGCACTTACTATTCCTTTTAATTTCAATAAAGAATCCTACTTTTTTGGACTTCTTACACAAAATATAAAACATAATAAGATTGCTAATGAAATACTCTTCATTATTAAGCATTATATTTATAAAATGCGATGTCTTCATAGCTCCTTGAATATAAATGCATTGATTAACACAATAAAAGACCACTATCATGTGCAAAAATATATAGCAATTAGCAAAGGAGATATTGCTAAAGAAAGATTTGAAAAAGAATGGAAGAAGTGGGGAAAACTTGTTGCTCTATAAGGTGTGTTTTTTTCTCTTTTTTTTTGTTTTTTGTTTTCTCTTCTTTGTTTTTTCCCCTTGGCCTTGAAATATATTGCCAAACTCACAACTATATACTCTTATTCTAATTTTTTTCCGATAATACATGTTTCCATTATTACATTCCCCCTCTC